GTATTGCTTGTTCACTGATCTGCACAAATTACCGCAACCAAAACAAATGCCTCTAGTGGTTAATTATCCGTACGATACAAGAAAATCTAGAGTTTTAACTTCATTATATTGATGTGGTTGTTATCGATTGTCTTTTGACGGAGTCTTCGATAACCTTTGCTCGATAGTCAAAGCTGCATCAGATATGAGATATAAAGCTTATCCGATCGAAAATTAAGCTAATCATTTACAACAAGCTACCTCGTAGTGACGTAGTTGTCCAGTCCAGTCACATCCTCTTTCATTCTGCTTGCATTTGACGCGGAGAGAAAGTATCTCCCTCTCCCAGGCCACATCACGGAAGAACTGTAACAAACAGCGATGTACATCCGTAACATTGAATGCCTACATCGATACTAGCAATCAGCCGTAGCTGCAGAAGCCGGTGATCATTGCCGATAATGAATTAACTAAGCTCAAAACTTAAGATGCATTATTCTGATTATTTCGTGAGTCACCCTAAACTTGGAGGTAATTCAGTTACAAGCGGCTGCTCAGAGTATTGATAACTTCATCATATAAGTTTATTTGTTTCAGTAAACTCACCCCTCCATCAGGAATAGGATTCCTATCTTGTGGACAAACTTGACCATGGCGTTCCCGATCCCTGAGAAATGCAAATCAAACATTAGATAGCTGTTGATACGATTTGCATTAGTGTTTGTATCAGACCGTGACAACCGAGTATGCTAGATAGCTGGACATATCATTCAGTCAGTTTTATTTTCCCTTTTTGCCTAATATCGCGGATACTCTGTAGGCATTGAGCCCCTCACATCGTTTGTATATACCAAGATATGAAGCTTTCACAAACAGTACATCATGTAGTACCTGAATGTTTCTAACAAGCAGCTTTCGCAGAATCGATGACCACACACAGTCTGTACGGGGCTCCGCATGGCAAGAAGGCATACGGGGCAGATTTGGCCTGGAGACAACTCATCTACAAACACAACATCATGGCCACCAATTCTTGGTTCACCTTCGAATTCTTCCTCCATAGTCGTTGTTTTCAGAGACCAGCGC